AACCTCGCCGCAAACTTGGCTATCTCAACTTAAACCCCATGTTAAAGGTGGGATAGTCCCTTTAAGTTGAAAGTATTAATTTGGTTCAAAATGATGATGTAGATTACCTAGTTATTTAAAGCTAAATATCTTATGACGAGAGCGGTTGGCATTTTTGGTATGCAGTGTTATTTATTGAAAACCGGTCGGAGCGTTTGAGTCTTTAATTTAGTGGTCGCCGCTTACTAATCATGCGGCATACACGCCGCACATAACCACCAATGCCGCAACGCAGCTTAGATTTCGAAGTAAGCATTTAGTCTCACCCGACACAGTGGCGCGTCGACGTGCGTCGCGGGCGGACACGCTGGGCCTCGTCTCGCATACAGCTGGACTACTATCTATCCACTTTGATACATTTGCACCCCCGAAACAGACCTGATTTGCAACAACCGCTGGGTCGTATGTTCGATACATTTTCGACCCCTGTTTCCTGTAATGCTTGAGATAATTTGAAACACTATATAGCAGATTACTTTGTCAGAAGATTTTAGGGTTCTTAGGGTTCAGACCTCGACGGGGAGGTCCTCCACCCAACCCTCGTCAACTATGATGTTGCGGCAACCCACAACTATGCTGTCAAGAAAGGGGAGTGGTTGGGTGGAGCTGGTCTCGCCCGAGAGAAAGTTCAGATTCAATAAAGGCCGCAGCGTCCCAAAACCACACCCAAAACCATGTTTCAGCTTGGGTGTCGGGTGAGATACGTAGAGGTTGTTACTGCTATTTTTAGCAGCTGCATCTGCCAAAAATAGCATCCCTGATTAGATTTGAGGCTTCCTGAATCAGCTAGATTTTTAGCCTTGTTCTTTAAAGTTTTCAGGCAAGTGCTTGGTTCATCTGAACCTTTGAGATTTTTAGTATTGATTTTGCATGCAAAATAGTGGCTTTTGGAGTCAAAGATGGATGTTTGACCAGTTTTATGCCACTTACTTTTTACCGTACCCATTTTTAGCAGATTTCTGTTTAAAATAGCAGACTGCTAAAAATGGCAGATTTTACCACAATATTTCCCCGACTGATTTGGAGCCCCTGAAGGATCCTTAGTTGCACCAATTCTGTTTTCACTTTTTATTAACGACCTTTTTTTTACGCAGATGGTGCTAAATTATTTCGCAAAATCTCCTCCCCGCACGACGGCCTGGCGCCGCAGCGGGACCTGGACCGCCTGCGGTGCTGGTCCGCCAGGTGGGGTCTGACTCTTAACCCCGTTAAATGCAAGACGCTCACTGTAACTCTGCGGCGCGCCCCCGTCCAGACTACATATCACATAGACGGTATTCCACTTGAAGCTGTAGACGAGATGCGTGACCTTGGCGTCCTTATTGACCAAAAACTCAATTTCGCAGAAAACGTGTCCCGGATTGTAAACCATGCCAATAGGGCTTTGGGTCTGTTAACCCGCGCCCGGCTGGGGGTCCTGGATTTCCACGCCCTGCTGGGGGGGGGTTTGAACACCCCCCCCTTGTAACTCGGCTCCTGGGCCACGTAGCGATACGCGGAAGGCGGCGTTAGAAAGAGCGTCAAAAATAATGACGAAATCACTTTGTCGAATGTCGAAAATTTCAAAGAAGCCAACGCATAACTCGAGAACCAATAGAGCTACAGCGCCGCGGAAAAACGCATTCGATAGCCCTATTAAAGCCCTTTCTGAGTAATTCTCTCAGATTTGACCTAACGTCAACGGTTTTGCCTGAAGGGGGCAAAAATTGCAAAAATAGCCGATTTTTTCGGAAACAGTTTTTCTGCAATAGCTTTTGACCCAAGCCTTGTACGAGCTTACTTTTACCGGCATTGTGTTCCTCTTGTCAAGACGCACCGAATGAACTATAAGTTGACCTTGAAAGGTCAAATTGAAAGTTTGACCCCAGGTCAAGGTCATGACCTGACCGGAAAGGGTCATGTTGCATATCAGTCGATCCGTATCGTCGAGCTGAACACATCTAAGGCGTTTTCATCGCTCTAGCATGCCTCTATCAAAAGTTATTTGCGAAAAACTGTTAGATACCATTCGTGACCTAAGATGACCTCAGGGCATAAACAAGGGTCATGGACACCATTTTCATGTCCAGTGTGTCTAAACCACTTGTAATTCGGTGTTTGGGAGTGTTTATAATGTCTTTTGTCCAAAAGAGGCGCATTTCAATTTTCTCCCATTGACTTATAATGGGGAGGTCGCAAAATTGACCTGACCTTAGGTCATCGATATCAAAATTCTGAGATATACATTTTGTACATGCTATTGCTCTTAGCAATCGCTGAAAGTTTCAAAGCGATCGGTCATTCGGTGTAGCTATGACAGACATTGAAACTTTTTATGAGGTGAGGTCACTTCAAGTGACCTGGTGACCTGACCTTGAATGACCTTGGTCTGAAATTTTCACAACATGTGTAGAATTGATGTACAATAAGGTGTACCAAAAACGGTGGCGCTCCGCGCCGCCATTTTTTGAGATATTCGCGAAAAACCACAAGGGGGGGGGGTGTTCAAACACCCCCCAGCAGGGCGCGGGTTAATGCGATTTTTTTCAGACAGGGACACGTGGAGCTAAATTTAACGAGAGAACACTGCTTGTCACATACTTTGCCACTGTCAGATCGATTCTGGAATACAGCTGCGTGATTTGGGCGGGGGCGGCCAAATCCCACACTGGGCGGGTTGGTCGCGTGCAGCACAAATTTCTCATGTGGCCCGCGACCGCCTGGGGTGGGGGGGGGGTGGGATCCGACCCCCCCTCCGTTTTTCTTGAATAACTCATGAACCACTTTCGCTATCTACTTGAAACTTGGCATACCTTCTCCCCCATCAATTTGACGTCTCCTGTGCAATTTTTAAGAACAAATTTCCAAAAAAATTGAGATATATCGATTTTAGTGATGTAACTACATGGCGTTTTTAGTCAAAAAGTGGTAAATGTTTAAAAAATCGCCAAAAATCAGGGTTTGACGCAAATTGCAAATTAAGGACATGAAAAGATGCAGCTCAACGAGTTCTTTAAAATGGCTATCTCGGATTTTCCATAAAATGCGTTTTTCACCCCTAAAAATTCAAAAAACTATATTTTTTGGAAAACAGCTAATAAAATCCAAAATTTTGGGAATTTCCAAAAAAAAAGGAATATATGTTGTAGAGCTCTATTAGAACACTAGATGCCCCAAATTTCAACTTTCTTTCTTGATTTTTGACCCCCCAAATTGTAAAAAATAGCTCCAACATGCATAGGGCATGGTGACGTCATCAGCATTTTCGTGAATTAGAGGCACTTCTGAACATCGCATGTAAAAACAAATGGCACCACTAGATTCCTGGGACAAAGCTCGTCTAGAAAAGTGCATTTTTATGTCAAAAATAAAAAGTTAAAAAAATGACTTTTTTTCTTAGCCCTCGTTTAGTTATGTATAGTATACACGATTTTTTATGCTTTCAAGTTTCCGATAGGCGTTATCACAAGTGTATTCGCGGCCATTGGGGCGACATAAGAAAAGAAGAAACCAACTGGTCCCAAGAACTTTAAATTATCAGTTAGCATGCATTTTTTCCTTGCTGTGTAGATAATTTACCATTATTTGTTACAGAAAATTGCATTTAAAATCTTCCATTTATGCTTTTTTCATCGTTTGCACAATATGTTCTTTTACTAAGCTAGAAACACTAATTAGAAATAGTTCCCGCATCATCAAGAACAATAGGGAAGGCTTGAAGTGAATAAAATAATTTAAACGGTTTTGTAATCTATGTGAAGGCACTTCTAAAATTGCCTGTAGAAATATTGAAGGCAAAAGTTCAACTTTTTCACAAGACGGATGTCTATAAACCTATTTAACTTGTGACAACTCAGCCGGTATTTCGTCGCCTACAGCCCAGCTTTCCCTAGTGACCGATAGAGGCGCTGCTATCGATGTCCGCCCGTGCCGCCTAACGCAATGCACACTTATCACCAGCACAGTGACTTGGGGTCACATATAACCATTACCATCGGATTCGGCGTGAAAAATAAGCCATAAAACATGTGTCGCACGCCCATGTAGCAGAAAGTGAAAACCGTGACCTGACCTGACCTTGACCCGTGCTTAGTATGACCCCTATACGCACATGGTACCTTCACTAGGCCTTTGAGGTCATTTTTGGTGAGTTTCGAGCAGCAGCTATCGATTCCGCTGTCCGTAAGCCGATTCATGCACAACCCCTGAATTTGACCTTTGACCTGACCTTGACCCGAAAGTTGACCTCAATCTTAAAATCTTAAGAGTGCTTTGGGAAGGTCTCGTAGAGACCTTTCGAACGCCGCCTCGCGGGGCTCGGTACGACCATTGGTTCTCGAGATAACAGGGGGGGGGGGGTCGGATCCGACCCCCCCCCCCAGGCTGTCGTGGGTACGGAAATAGCCCAGGCGGTGCCGGGTTAACCATCACATTGCACGTCCTTGCCCGCCACTGTCCTATCAGTCACTCCTACATCATTTTGGCATCCCTGCCCTCTCCTCTCGCAGAATCCAGTACGACCTCCTTTTCCTAAGAAACCTATTCTCTGGGAGACTCAAATCCCCAGAAATCCTATCCTCCTTCCCACTCCATGTGCCACCGATATCAGCCCGGCCCAGCGACATGGAGCGGGGTCAGTGACCAGGGCGCAGGGAAAGGTCAGAGGTCAGCTATAACGTAGAGCTTTGTGTCTCCCTCCCCTCCGTGTGTTACGACCGCACGACAGCGGCCGGTCGCCGATCAGGCTTGACATGTGTGCCCTCTGCGTCCCGGCTCCACGTCCACACGCGCGTGCTGCGGTTCGCGTTCTGTATTTTCCACACTCGACCCGGCCGCCCGCCACCGTGACCCCGATGACCTCTGACGTCACAGACGGTCAGCCGGTCAGCACGTGCCCCGTGTGGGCACAGCCCAGCACATCTCCCCCTTCAAAAAAACAACAACAACAGTATAAACAAGCAATGAGAACAGGGAAAATAACGACACAGCAAGACACTCACGAATTCCTGCATTGAATCATTGCGGAGAGACAAAGTAGCGACTCATCCCAGCGAGCGCTCCACCCAGTCCGTCAATAGATCCTCCCACTCCGGGTCTTCTTTGGAGACGCGGGAGGCTGGGTCAAAGCGGGCGGGAGTGACGCGTCTGGTTGCAGCCCAGCTGCGCCCTCGCCGGTCTGCTGCCGTTGTCTGCTCAGTGAGTCGCCTGGCTGTGATGCGGCCGCCCCCTGGCTGGTCCACCGATCCCCTCTGTCCAGATCCTCCGACTGCGGGCCTCCGGCTGTGTGACCATCTACGGGACGGGAAAGATGCGTTAGCGATGTTGGCGCGCTCGCCAGGTGGCGTCGATTCCGGACGTACAAACCGTTGTCAGTGGCGATCACATAGCTCAGTCCCACGCACAAGGGGGAAAAGCTCAAATTATTGAGCGCTCAAAATATTGAGCGTGTGACGTCAGAGGCTCCCATAGGCGTAATGCTGAGGGCTCAAAAAATTGAGCCGTTTCAGGAACACGTTTTGCAAAAGCAACTCGCAACACCTAGGGAGAAATGGCAACACCCTAGGAGAATCACTAATGATGCAAAACAGATTAGGCTTTCATATTTTTCACTGCTCAAGCTTCAACGATTGGGGGAACACCATTTTATAGGTCGAAATCTTACGGCATACCAGGATGACCTAAAAACAGGCCAATATTTATGTCGAAATAAAAGTTATTTTTTGTCCATTCACGTTTTTTACTAGGGTTCTGTTGGAAAGAGCATTTTTCATACTACCCCAAAATGATTGCGACTCAATTTCACATTACCCATATCGGAGAATATTTTTCATTTGGCGGCGCCGTTTGTTTATTTCGTCGCGACGTCTCCGGTCGCGTGGTTGTCGTCGTCCTTGTGTTGAAGGTAAGTTTTTATCGTTTTAGTTATACTTAAATGTTAAAAGGTACACAGAAAAGTTTGAATATGCTGTGATTTTAAATTTGGAAACACGTAAACGTCAATCAATTCACGTTTTCCTCGATTTGCGTGCACATAAGTAACTGTCGACGAAAGTGGCGCCATCCGATATGATGTTTTAAAGGAAGGAGACACAACATATTTACGTGAAAATTTTTGTTTTATAGTGGTCTAAGTGCTTCAAAGAGGCTGTGAATGTTTTCTTCACACAATTTTTCATTAGGTATGATGAGGTAAAAGGTAGTTTCAGTCTTAACTTTCATATAATTGACATTAAAACGTGTGATAGTCCACTGCTATCAGTGATTGAATACCTTGATATTTGGCATTTCTTATTAATTTGATTGTATTCTCTATCCATATGTCCTGATAGTAAGTGGCAATACTCTGCCAATATGTTTCCATAGTTTTCACATTCATTTTCCAGTCCTTTACATAACATCACAATTTATAATCAACAAAACTCAACTCCTTCGTTACTTCACAACACTGACAGCATGACAGACTGACAGTCAACTATTGTGTGTGTGAATGCTGAAACAGGATAGCCACTTTGCTGACTGGCTCATATTAAATAAGATAAAAATGATCCTTTATATCATTTCCATCTGGAGGATCGAAGTCAACGGAAAAGGAAGGCCACTTTTAAGCCTGAAGGTCTAGGCCGCCAGACGCCGGTCGGCAGTCACCACCAAATTTGTAATAGATTAATTCATTATTATACTTTGAGACCCTTAGGTCACTGGATCGGCATCACATTTTCAGTTTCAATATAGTAAAGGTTTTTTATTTGTATGATGTGAAATATTTTCCTGAATCAGAATTTAATTGTCCCTAGGTACCTGGTAGAGGTTTCGGATTTTATGCTCATTGTTGGTGTGCAGTCAGGATTTTTTGACAGGTCCAGATAGGGAATCCTGAGCAATTTTATAGTAAAGTGGTCTCCTTATGATCACCACACATTTTATCAAAAGTATTTGCAGAATTCATTCAATGAATAATTTTATCAATGTTGCACCCATTTCTTAGACGACCTAGGCTGCATCTTTTTTTAGTTCCTGTTGTACGACATATTTTTCATTTTGTTCCACTGCATAAAGAAAAAAATCGTTTGAGATCACCAAACAGCTTTTCTTTTTCTGGCAGGTCTGCACAACCAAGCGGTCGCTGGCGAGGACGTCGGCCGTCCCTGTGGGTAAGGTCATCTGCTCAGCCTTTGTGGAGATCAGCAAGACGTCACCAAGATGAAGACTTCGCTGGAGCAGAAGCCGCTGACCCGTGTCCGATCGGGCAGGTCATGCTCGACGGCACGAGCCACAACTTGAACGACTAGGTGACATCAACAACATGGTGGAGCAGGTGAATGAGTTTGGCGACGTGTTGTGCGACTGCAAGAAGGGTTGTCTGCGTGTTCTGGCCGGCGGAGCGGCGACGCTGCGCAGTCTGTGCTGGCGGTGAGCAGCTGGCCGTGGTGACCGCGCGCGCCCACATGCGCCGACAACCTGTGCGGCTTCGACGGCCCCGGGACAGCCCGATGCCGCCCACTATGCGACGCCGACCGCGCACTGTCCGCACGGCCACATGGAGGTGTGCCCGCGCCTTTTGCCCGCACGCCGCTACCTCGCAGCTGGTCTGCAACCACGCCGTCGCCGCCTGTAGCCCGATAACAAAACGGCTGTCTGAAAATGCCGCGTGTTCTTTGTGATGTTGCTACTGTGATGGTTGCTACTGCTGGTCTGAGACTCGATGTTTCCATTCGTCCTTTACATGTTAAGGATTTGATAATGATTAGCTTAGTCCGAGCTTAGGTCGTTTATATCATTTGTTATATGGCATATTTTGGATCAAAGCAGTACGACACTGCCTCCTGCTTTTGTGATGTATGCTGGAAAGACGCAGGTTCCGGTCGCAGGTCACCCGGTTCCAATGTGGTCGGGCTGGCATGCGATAATGTGATGTTGTTTTGCTCGTCTCTGTGTTCCACACTTGATGATGTTTGTGAATCTAACCCACATTGTATAGTATTTTTGTTTGTTTGCGGCCGATAGCCTTGTAAGTTGTAACCGTGGCAATACAGTTTTTCCTGCTATAATTCTCCAATATTTAAGTGTGGGTGGATATCTTTCTGTATTCACGTATTCCCTTCTCCCAGTACAGTCAGAGAATATCAATACAGTATTCATACGGATTATTCAAGCCCTGTATAATTATTTGAGGTGTGCCGAATCCGAAAGGCGACCGATAAAACTACTAGCGGAAAATGTGACATGATGCCATGGGTTTGTGAAAAGTTTAGGTACCACGTAGCATTCAACTTTCTGTTTCAACTCAGTTTAACGTATTTCAACGAACATAACATCAAAAATGGCAGCCAGTACCGGCTACACCTGTCACGGAGAACGCTCAAAAAATTGAGTGTAGATGCTGGCCGGCACTCAATTTTTTGAGCGCCAGCTGACTGTCGTCTGTTGCGGCGCTCAATTTATTGAGTATCGCGGTCCCGAACGACAAGTGGCGCTCAAAAAGTTGAGCGTCTTTAGGGCATTTTCTTTCCAAAAACACCGATATGAATTATCACGGCGAGTGTTCGAGAAGAAACCTTGTTGCTCTCTCTCTTGCCATTGATACCTTATTTGGATACGATATTTGCCGTAGTGTGACGCTAACGGCATTGTAAAATACCATCGTTTCGCCTATTCCTTCATAATGGGGCCCGCTCAATTTTTTGAGCGCTCAATTTTTTGAGCTTTTCCCCCTTGTGCGTGGGACTGAGCTCCTTCCTCCCGGTCTCCGATCAACTACGCGTCCGAGAACGCCCCAGTCACTATCATTGCTGGTCCGAACACGCACACGCTCACCCCTGTCCAGCTCAACAAGAGGCTTAGCACCGTGACATTTATCAAATTTTCTCTTCATTCGCCTTTTGGCTTCAATGTCCCGCCTGTTTGCCACCCGCCAAATATCCCTTACCGGACTCGGCGGGCTCGGGAGACGAGTTTGCAGCGTGCGCCCCATCAGGAGCTGCGCCGGTGCCAGACCCGTGGGCTCGACTGGAGTAGTCCTGTAGGCCATCAGTGCGAGATGTGGGTCACGCTGCTTCAGGCACCATTTTGCCTGCTGCACTGCTTTCTCAGCTGCTCCATTTGCCTGAGGGCAGTAAGGATCAGTTACGCGGTGACTGAACCCGTATGCAGTGGCAAACTCCTTGAACTCTTGTGAGACGAATTGTCTTCCCCCATCTGAAGTTACTAGATCAGGAATGCCATATCTGGCAAAAAGACACTTCATTTTCTCTATAACGCTACCGCTGGTGATGTTTCCCAGTTGTTGAACCTCAAGAAATCGACTGAAAATGTCAACGGTGACCAAGTAGCTGTGCGAAGCGTGCTGACAAATATCGGTCGCTATGTGTGACCACGGTTTTTCAGGCGCTGGCGTTGGTATCAACGGCTCTTTCCTTTGGACAGGTGAGTGAATCTGACAGAACTGACAACACTTCAGATACTCTTTCAAATCTGTGCTAATGCTGGGCCACCAGATTGAACTTCTAGCCCTGTCACGACATTTTGATAGGCCCAAATGTCCATCGTCATGCAATCTACTCAGCATTTGCATCCTCATCTGGTAAGGAATCACTAGCCGACTTGCATACATTAGTACGCCATTGGCGACACTGAGCTGATCTCTTACCCCGTACAGCGGGTGTGACCTGGCTCTCGCCGTCCACTCGCTCGTGCTGCGGTTCGCGTTCTGTATTTTCCACACTCGACCCGGCCGCCCGCCACCGTGACCCCGCTGACCTCTGACGTCACAGACGGTCAGCCGGTCAGCACGTGCCCCGTGTGGGCACAGCCCAGCACAACATGTCAAGGTCACCCGCAGTCAACGGGCTCAGAGGGTTGGTCGAGTGCGAGTCCGTGGTTGACGACAGTCTCGACCATGTGCTATGGTGCCGATACACTAGCGTGGGTAATAAGTTTGTGTTCAGTGCATATGACTGCTGGGGCGTGTCCTCTTAATATGATGCTTTGTGACGTGTATGATGCGCTTAAAACCTCGCTGGCAGTGGCCGAGAGGAGATGGGGGAGGCGGGTGCCGCCTCCACATGTTTATTTTTGTTGATAGCTGCGAGAGCTGAAATTTGGCAAGCCTGACCTTTGATTCAATCTGAATTTTTATGACAGCAGCTGTATTTTCACCCTCGCCCATATTGGTGTTTTGCCAGCGTCTATCGTAAAGGGGGAAGGAGGGTCCGTTGGACCGCTTTGCCGTTCAGCCCCTGATCCAAGGCCATCTATAGAAGGTACAGTCACTCCCCCGCCGACCAATCAGAGACAGATCCTGAGTGACGTCACCCCTGATGCTCGCAAGGGGTACTCCATTCCTTTGCCATGTAAAAATGACTAACTTCATTTGAAGATTATTGATGGCACTCTACACATACCGCTCAACCGTTGATGTCAATGGAAAGCCCAACTAATTTTCCAGCGACAAAAAAGAGGAGCAATATGCTAAGAAATGGCCGGTTTTGAAGATATGGACGATTTAAAAACTCTCTGCAGCAGCAGGAAAGCAACGTAAAAACGCATCGAGCTTATATTTTTACTATGAATAAATCATTTTTCAGTAAGTTCTTAGATATGGTATAAGTTACAACTTTATTGCAATATTTTTATTATTTGAAACTTTATTTCAAAATAATGTTTTCAAAAATGGCAGCTGTTGGCAAGTAGGTTGGAAGCGATTGTGGCGCACCGCGCCATTAATTGTCCTGAGGCCCCCCTATTATGTCATCAAAAGTGGAGTGACATGGGCCTGCCCTGATCGAGCTAGAGCTTCGCGGAAAAAGAGCGTGTTGCCCGTGACGAGAGGAGGCCGATGATACCCAATTTTAAGGTCCTAGGTCATTGGTTGACAGGTCAATATAGCTCAAAAGTCGGGGAATCGGGACCTGTTAGAGGTTCGTAAAGTGAAGCTGTTATAGGGTTTTGCGGGGTGCTGATCACTAAATTCAAGTTAGTTTTGAATTTAGAGTTGCAAAGTTTTCCCAATGGGCTGCTACCGGCACCGCCCCGCCCCACAAAAATTTTCTGGGATACCGGGATGCTACCACGCCCCAAGCAAAAAAAACCGCCAAATTACCGGCATACCGGTAATTTGGCGGTAATTTTAATACGGCATATGGAACTTTTACCACAAAATGTATTTTGCAGTGGCTAAGATTGCTGTTATTACAATTCAATAGCCTCTTAGTGTCCAAAGTTTGAATCATATGCTGATAATTTTTTTGTGTGCAAAATCAAAAATACCGGCATGCTACCGGCAAGACATGCCAGTTACCACGAAAAAACCTGCGGTAGTGAAAAATTACCGGCATGCCGGTAGTGCGGTAGGGAAATTTTGCAACTCTAGTTTTGATCACAGATGATATTTTCGTGCATTTAGGCCAGGTCGGGTCATGTCAGGTCAGGTCACATGTTACGAGGTAACCAAAACTACTTCTTAAATGTTCAAACGGTTTCTAAATGCGAAATCAACTCCAAAATCTACCCTTGAAACATGTAAAACTCGAAAGAGTGAACGAAGTTCATCAAAGGTCAGTGACCTGACTGACCTTCACGTGACCTTGATACCCACTAGAATCCATGGGATTAAAATCCTTTCACATGTTTGATCGCTTAAAGTCACAAAAATACAATAAAACGCGCTCTACTCGAAATACGCCAAAACGCGATTCCGGCCAAACATGGTCTCGGAAAACAGGTCACAATTCAAAGGTCTTTTGAGTCAGGGTCATACAAATAATAGGGTAGGCGTAATATTGATTATCTCGAGGGTACTGACAGTTTCGTCGTAATCAGCCGCTTTTTGCGAGAGTTATTTGCGAAAAACTGAGGGTAGGAGGTCTGTTCGACACCCTCCTAGTGTCGAACATCGTTAGTGCGAAGGTTAAGGTGCCGTTAACCAATGACGCCAAAAGTGAACCTCTGTGTCTGTAAGTTTAAGGTCCCTAAATGTCGCGACGTCGCAGCACCCTTCGTGCCAGGGGACTTTTCAACGGGGAATGAAGCTTATATGATCTAGTACTATCTCCCAGAGGCCTCACAACTTGTATGTAGTTATCTCGTATTTTTCTTAAGAGTCACCTGAAGTCAGGTCGGTCACCAGTGGCGTACGCACATACAGGACATTCCGTGCATGCCCTGTCCCTTTGGCTCATCGTCCCCGGCGCCCTCAGTGACTGGCGCCCCTCTGTCCAGAACATGGCCATGGGAGCTATTCAGAGACTAGAGCTGCAGCATTTCTACATATCCCATAACTGACACCATACTCATGAAGTCGGAGGGCGCCTTCTGACCAGAAGCACGCCAGTGAGCCGGGAGGGCGCCCTCTGATCAGAAGCACGTCAGTGTGTCGGTGGGGCGACCTCTGATAACAAGTACCTCACCGGTGAGTCGGAAGGGCGCCTTACGATCAGAAGCACGCCAGTGGGTCAGGAGGGAGCCTTACGATCAGAAGCACGCCGGTGAGTGGAGAGGGCTCCTTCTGAACAGAACCATGCCGGTAAGTCGAGAGGGCGCCCTCTGAGGAGATGCATTCCAATTAGCCGTGAGGGCGCCTTTTGATAAGAAGCATGCTAGTGAGTTGGAGGGCGCCTTCTGGTCAGAAGCACGTCAGTGAGCCGGGAGGGCGCCCTCTGATCAGGACACCAGTGAGCCAGGAAGGTGCCATCATCTAGGAGAGCGCCGCTATCGACTGGAGGAGCGCAAACACTGGACAGAGGGGCGCCGCCATAATCTAGGAGCGCGCCGTTATCGACTGGAGGAGCGCCAACACTGGACAGAGGGTCACCACCATCGTCTAGGAGGGCACCGCTATCACTGAAGGAGCGCCAAGACTGGACAAAGGGGCGTCGCCGTCATCATCTCGGCCGCGACACTTTCACGTTCGCAGTTATGAGTTATGTTCGTACCGCACGTGTACCGCTGCCTGAGGCTGATCAATGTGTACGCATGTACAATGTCAGTTATGTTCGTTCCGCACGTGTACGAACATAACTGACACATTCAAGTTTCAGATATGTGGCGCCCTCCTTGTTGTTGGCGCCCTCCTTGATTGGCGCCCTCTCGTCCAATGCCCTGGTCCTTCGCAAATTCCTGGGTACGCCACTGTCGGTCACGCAACCTCACGATTATTAATCAATGGGGAAATATGAGAACTGTTATTTTGGCGCCGAGAGCCGTCTTAAGCTGTCTCAAGCGCATTAATTCGTGATAGTATACAATCTTTGCGAGCCCCAGCATTTACTTTTGCATTCTTGATCTTAGGCGACTTCATTTATAACGTCACTAAGGAGTTTTCACCAAAAAAGTCCCGATCAAATTGAGCTAGCGAATCGGGAAGCCACCAAAGGACTTGTGAGGACCTATCGAATCGAATAAGCAATATGACCTTGGGCCAGCTTCGTGGACTGAGTGGCTCTGCCCTGATCTGACCTGAGGTGAATACCTTAAATTGACCTCAACAAAAACAAAGCGTATACTATTCGACGCGCTTGAGCATGCAAAACTCGATGGTGCCATTACCTTGGCTCTGTATCCACTATGGTGAAGTTGTTTGAGACATTCGACTCGGGCACCAGCTGCTGCATCTCATACGATGCACGCGCTCAGTTTTATCCGCAAGGCGCTAGCTCAATTAGGGGCGAAAAGACGGAGAGGGGTCGTAATCGCCCCCCCCCCTCGGCCGGGGTATATGCAGAAAACCCAAAAGTCCGTTGAGGGTTAAGCACTGAAGTGATATATTATGATATGAGAAGATATAGGTCAAAACAAGTATGCACACGAGCGGGTGTGAATGAAATTGTATTTGAGATATGCCTTTTTAATTATACGTTCGATTTGCTTTAATTATTGGTAAGAACAGAGGCAACCAGGAAGAGCGCCCCTGAAGAAAAGGTGGCGCACTTGACGGGTGCGATTTTAAGGTCTAAGGTCCAGGGATGCGGAGCCGTGGAAATTTCAGACGGCTCCGGCTCCGGCTCCGGCTCCGGAGAAAAAAATCGGCTCCGGCTCCGGCTCCGGCTCCGGGTGAAATGTTATGGCGGCTCCGGCTCCGGCTCCGGCTCCGAGTAAAATGGTCCGGCTCCGGCGGCTCCGGCTCCGGCGGCTCCGGCTCCGACTCAGTACATCCCCTACGCAATCAATTAAATACGGGTGGAAGAAAAATTGGATTGGTTATACGCGTTACTCTTTGCCATGACCGGCTCACCGCGTCCCCGCGCAAACGCACCTCGGAGAGAACTGGCAGAACAAAGGGCTAGGAAGCGATGGCATTGGAAACGCAGTCGCCGCGAATCGGAGTTCAGTGAACCATCGTAAGCTGACACCCGTCTCGGCTGCATTGGGGGTGAGGGGTGGGGGGTGTGTGGGATGAGACGGTGCTGGGAGTCGCAGTCCACTGCACTGGTTTGAAAACAATGGCCGTCACCTGATGACTGGTCCTCATGTTCAGGGGATGCAGTAGACGTGGGGGGGGGGGGGGGGAAGAGCAAACAGGAAGTTGTTTGCGTACTGTGGGATACTGGGGATATTCGGATTTTTTCATTCACTTGATGGCCCATGACGTAAGTACCATATGTTTTACTGCCTTGTACTGTCAAACCGAACTAGGTCAATTATTATTTTTTTTCCTCTTCAAAAAATAAAAAGGAGCCGGAGTCGCCCCCTTTTTTGGCGGCTCCGGCTCCGGCTCCG